TAACATACTATTGACAAATTTCTAAAAAATAAGGTAAATAAATAAATAACACAATACAATGTCAATGTAGCGGGAGTTTTTCAACCAGATATCATGGTTGGCCTGGCCTACATCTCGTTCATTTTCATTTTATTTTTACTTAGCGTAAAACACTGCAGCTGACAATGCTTTTGTGCGACAGTCATCCTAGCAGCTAAACCGTATTTGGAGAATTCGTTTTAAGCTATTCCAATTTCCAAGTAATTCTTGCTAAAAGTACTTTTTGAAAATAAAGTTTTTGTTAAGTATCAGGCAATAACATGATTTCGAGGGCAATATGGTATAAATAAGGCAAATAGACACGAGTAACAAAGGTAAACGAGCCCGTAAGGGCGATCTTGTGGGCGGCGAGTGCACTTTGTGGTCTTTGAAAACTTTACATATCCGTTATTGACCATGATTGTTAGGCGCTCGGTCAAGACGGCTGGATATTTGCCATTCTTTTTTGCGTATTTATTGACCGAGACGAATTCGAGGTCAATAAAACCGCAAAAAAGAGCAAGGAAAATATAGAGCCATCTTTACTGAACAAGCTTGGTCAATAAAGGATGTCCCGGTGGACAGTTCATAGATTGACTCTTGTGTTTAAACCTCTCCATAACGGGCTCCTTTCTTCAACGGCAACGGCCACTACTCTCGACAACGTCCAGTTGTTTTGAGCGATTGATAAAAAAAACCAAGAATGGTCATGAAATTTGATTCGTATGGCGCGTTGATGATTAATCGCAGCAACCGTATTTTGATTGTGTTCCATTTATACTGTTGCAGTAAGCATAAATTGAAATTTTTAACGAATGTTGCGCGTTTTGTCACGTTAACATTTTGATTCAAAACATGTATTTAATTTTTTCTGATTGGATTACCATTTTGGGATACGGTAAGCATGAACTTAGCAGCACAAAACATGTTGTACTCCCTAAAACAAAATTTGTCATATTAGACAATCATATTACACCACTACCTCCCCATAACGGCTACATTTCTCTGTCCACAAGCTAGGGTGGCCGTTAAGTTCCTGTGGAGAGGTCCCTTGACACTTTTTACTGAAGTCGGGTTTTTGGAATATTCTCTTAGCTATTATATTGTTGTTTACTTGCCAAACCAAATGGTTGTTTGCTAAATGCCACCACCATTTTCCTCCACGTCTGAGTTCATAGTCTTGTAGATATTAAAACAAAAAAATTCCTTGTGCCGAATAGCGAGACCAGAAGACGTAGGAGCCATTTAAGTATAGAATGCCCAAATTTTCAAGGACGTTTTCAAGTTCTCTTTCTTTCCTAGATCCATATGTGAATGGAATTCTTTGCCTTCAGAGATTGTAAATTCTAAGTCACTGAACTGTTTTAAAACAAATTTACCAAATTATCTTAAATATGAATGAGACAGGACTAGGACGAAGCTTATTAAATATATTTATTTCGATATATTTCCTTATATATCTGTACATACATATATAGGCTCACCTATTCTATTTAGCCACTTGCCATGCGCTTTATTTCTTACAAAAAGTTGGTGTGATGTCTAATCGACTTTACCTCCGTAATAAAATGTAAATGTAAGATGTAGATCTTAAATTTCCGCCAATATGTTTTGTTTCTCCTGGTCCCAGTTTTATGTTGGTTAGCACACGTTTCAACCACGCTTTCAGGAACATGGTTATACCACCATCGATTTCGCTTAAACCAACCTTTTCCTGCTATTTTCAGTTCTTCTCCTTGCTTGAAAAGCCATCGCCGCCGTTTCTTAATTTTCAAACCCTTCTGGCAACTACCTATTTTCAACAATTGCATACCCTTGCATTGTTTGATTGTCACACTCCTCTAAGAATGTGAGGCCTTTCTCTATCAGGGCCGTACTTCTTTGGCACTTAAGTCAAGCTCCACAATTTCCTGGATGAAGACCAACATTCATGGTTAGCAAATGTCTTGTTCTGACTTCTAAATCTCTGTCGAATATTTAGCAATTGATACTGCCCAGATGTCTATGGCTTATGTCAAATTTCCACCGTTCGATTTCGAGAGAGCAACTTTTCTAACGTGATTTATTCTTCATTCAGTCATGCAACATGCCTTCAGCCTCAAGTACTCCTAAATACTTGCATCCTTCACTTTCTTCCATTGATTTCTCTTATTGTAGTATTAGCAAGTATTGTAACATTTTTGACTCTGCCAGCTAACCACGCTTCAAGACCAAGACAGCATTCTTAATGGAAAATTTGATACCAGTGTCTAGGCTGAATATTCTAAATGACGATTGTATCCGTGCGTGAGTCCAGCTGACTCTCAATTCTAGCGTTAAGCCTTAGATCATGCTATAAATCTTTTTATTATATGGAGGAGAGTGTTTTACTGGGAACTAAACCACTCGTAGATTCCATACGCCACTTCATCCGGGACCCGAGTGGCGTATTTTCCGTATGTCACCTTTGTGAGTGTCGTATCGTTCAATGACGTCACGATTCCCGCCTTTTGCTTTTGTTGAATTGGTTTCTCCATATAATAAAAAGAACATTACACGTTAGCTCGAAGATATGAATTTTATGTTCTCGTGGCAAGAACAATATCTCACTCGTTCGCTTCGCTCACTCCTGAGATATTGTTCTTGCCACTCGAACATAAAATTCATATCTTCTCGCCACCGTGTAATATCCTCTATATACTGTAAATATGTAACTCACTTCATACTTTCTGAAGTTGAGTCAGGGAGATCACAAAAAAGGGGCGAGGACACTCTTGGAGGACAGGGAACCCCCCTTGGAAATGCCTCTTTTGTTGGAGACATAGTGACTCTTTAAATTTTATGTTAGTTCCGTTTGCTAGCCACTTACGGAATTTTCAGCAACCTATCAGCTCTTAACATTTTGAGTTGCACAAAAAAATCCTCCATTTGGCCTTTTATAGATCCATTTCATTAATCCAGGGCAGTTAATTGCTTCCATGAGAACTCGTAGAGCTAGTCAGCTATTATTACCGTTAGCAGTTTTCACTAAACAGATAAACAGGCTATGGGGGTAGGAATCACCTCATGTTCTTTTTTGAAGCTATCGATGGACTTGTTCATACATCCCAAGACGTTCTACCTACTCCTATAGAACCCGCGCGTACGTGTGACTAGATCTGCTAGTATCAGTGAATGTAAAACCCTTCTGTCCACTTAAACGTAATACCGTTACTAACCAGCGCTCCTTTTTTATTCGTGTCACAAGAATTTGGAACCCACTTTCGTCAGATTTAAGATCAAATAAGTTAAGCTTAGCCCAGTTTAAGAGACTTCTGAGGGATTAGTATGCCACCGCCTTACGGACTTGTTATAATGTCAGTAGAGGACCCCAGAACATGGAAAACAATTTGCCTAAAATGTAACTACGTTCGTACTCTAACTAGCCCCCTCGCCTGCTGCTTTTAGCCTTTCCATCTAGCTTTTCTTTGTCCAATCCTAATGTTGCTTTCATTTTTGATATTTTGCCAATTGTCGGGCCCACAGTAATTGGTTTATCTGTTGTGGTGACCCTGTCACGTATATGTATGTTATTATTATTATTATTATTATTATTATTATTATTATCATTATTATTATTATTTTGGGGGGGGCGCGCGAAGCTTAATAACTAAATAAATAAATTACCCGCTAATGGTGCTTCAATTTCTCCAGGTCTGTCATATTTGAAGGACCCTCCTTCCCTTAATGCGAATGTTTTCACATTCTAGCGGTAGGATTGCTGCTGGTTTGCTATACTGTGGTGAAGGGCGGTCAAGTTTTTTTATCCAAAACCCTTGCACTAATAAACCTTTCAGTTTACTTTACTTTCAGTTTACTTTCCTTTCTTGGTAGTCAGATCTGAATTCAGTTAAGATTTGATTTTCTTAGTATCCACAATAGTAACTATGACTTTTTCTCTGGTTGTCTCAAAAGCCTGTTTTGAAGGAACTATTTTCTTCCCCCAATCTATTCTTTTATCCTTGACTTGAGAGTAAATCATTGATTGAGCTGCGCTGAGCTGAGCTGAGCTGATTCAACCTCTGGTAACAGAGCCACTCTTGAAATATGACTAGTCACAAGGTTGCTGTAATCCTTAATCGACTCTTGCCTTGGACCTTTTTTGTACTCATGGCTGTGGTCAAGAGCAACCTGATACTGGCTACCCTCAGCCCGGTACTTAGGATTCAATTAACGTCGTTCTTTATCGTTCGTCTCCAATTAAACTTTGAGGATCAGCTATTTGACCGACAAGTTCGTTCTTCAGAGTCCTCTTCTCCTAGGTGGGATGTCATCTAAGACTAAGGAGCCTCTTGTATAGCCTTGTTATAACCCTAGTTGGGGGTGGTTTAGTGGTTTCTCAAACTTGTCAAAGGTGATTAACCCAGTCTCTGGTGACCGAGGACACTCCCTGCAATCTTTTCTGTCCTTAATATAATTTAGTGTCCAGCACTTTTCACAGAAGTCTTCCTGACCCCAGCAAGGTTATTCACCGTAAACGCTTTTATGCAGTGTCCGTTTTAAAATTGTGCTCTAAATGCGTAACATTTAGCAACCTGGCATTTGCGTGGTCTTCGACGTGTCCCCCTTTTGGCAGTGTTACTAAAACAATATAAAATAAAATGTTACACCATCATTTAAATGGATCTCTGAAAGAAAGAAAGAAATAGAGTTATTATTAAAGTGACCAAGTTAATAAAGTATTTCATTTTATTTCCCACTTTCGGTGTGGACAGTCCGGAACATCAAAGTTGTTCCCAAAATTTTAGCCTGTGTCGCAGCCACTAAGCACCAACTGTGTTGATCAATAGTTTTGAGGGTGGGTGCTCAGGCTGCTAATTTTCTTTTTTTAATCGTTCTGTAGCACACTCTTGTTGGAGAGCACGAGTGTGCCATCACTTTTCAACATCCTTTTGTCCTGTTACTGGGTTTTCTATGGGTCAATAAACAGGTACGCCTGGGATCAGGCTATAAGGTACGATTCGATGCTTAAACGTTCAATTTCATCTTTTTTATTCAAGATAACAAGACAAATACCGATGAACTGAAGAAGGCAATCGCTGACATTCCACAAAATAAACCCAATGAATCTGAAGGATTAGTTCGAAAGTTATATGGTGAGATATCGAATTTGCAAGATGCAGGCGTCAAAGAGAGCCTTCTGAATGAGCTGAAAGCTGTTGCCTGTCGAGGGCTGCAAGAAGAGCTCAAAAAGATGATAGAACGTAAAGGTTTGCAGCTCGAAGCAATTCACCTTGTAGTGAATTACCTAACCAATATTCCAGAACTTGCAGAATACCTAGATAAAAACTCCAGTCAACCAGAAGTGGTACGTGAAGCTGGGTTAGAGATGATAAATAAAAGACTCGGACAAGATCTTGAAGTAGTTGGCGGACTCAAAGGTAAAGGCGTTGATGTTTCGAAAGATTGGGTGGAAAACCTTCGCAAAAGAGCTCCTTCCTTCCAAGCACTTACAAGGCTGAGATTGCAAGAGCTAGAAAAATGTTGCGAAGGGGCAGATGAAGGAGAAATGGATGAGGTTTACCGACTGGTAGAAAAGGCCGAATCACAGAAAAACCAACTCGCTGCTGTCCCACAAGACGAGAAACTCATTCAGGAAAACAAAAATGCAAAAGCTGTGGACGAAGAGAAGCTGAAGAAAGCTAAAGAATTGATGAATAACGCCAAAGCTATGGCTAACGATCGCTCAGAGTCATCAAAACAAGCCGTTAATGAAAAACTAAGAGAGATCATGAACACACTTGAGCTTCCGGCCGATTGGTTTAAGAAAGATGAAGTACAACCAGAACAGTTATTCCAGCAACTGGATGAAATTATTGGGCAGTGCAGCAATGTTGTGGAGTCCCGAGACTCGTACAACAGTGAGGTAGAAATCGTCACCAGAGCCAGCGCTGGTAAAGCTTTATGTGGGATTTATCATTCCGAGTATAAACCACCAAAACCGGCAGGAAGACCACTACTATTAATACCAACAACTGTCACCTTAACCAATCCTAACAGTGCCCAGGAGATAAACTACATGAAATTCTCTGCAAAGGGGACAGCTGCCGAATACGTGCGAACAGTAGAGTCGTCCAGCACTAACATTGGCATTGGCGTGGCTGGTTTCTACGGCTTGTTCGTGGGGGAGGTGCAAGGCGGGTATGGCCATGAGAGCGGTAGCCAAGTAGATCATTCGGTAAAATCATCAACCACCAGTGCATCCGTCCTACAGTACATTCGCACCGCCAAGAAAACATTCCAACTCGAGCGAGACCAACTAAATATTTCCTTGACAGCCAGAAAAATGGCCAAGGCGATAACCCAGGATGCAAAAGCCAAAGCAGCAAAGCGCGAGAAATCAGCTCGTATCTTCATGGACCGATACGGAAGCCATTTTCCTGCAGGTGTCCAGACTCTTGGCGGTGTGTTTTTTAGCATTGCTGATGCCGAAAGTAAAAGCACCACAGATACATTCAAGCTGACTGAGACTGCCGTGGATCACCTTAATGCTCAAATTTCGTTTGGCTTTCTTAGCGGAGCGTTCGGGATTGGAGCAAGCGTCACTGGTGAGCACACCGCTGGTTCAGGGAAAACTGACGAGAAACACGAGACCAGCGACAGCGAGAGATTCACCTATTCTGTGAAGTCCATGGGCCCACCAGCAACCAATCCGTCTACGTTTCACAAGTTACTTTCATACAACTCCACCTGGGCGTTAATTGATCGTGGCAGCTTCGAAGGCTATATACCAGTCTGGGAGTTAATCAGAGATCTTGGGAAAGAGTTTGAGGGGGCGGCTTCTGTCCTAGAGGAAACCTGGTGCAAAGACGAAAAGGCCAGGAAGGAAGAGTGGGAGGCGCAACAAGAAAAACAGAGAAAGCTCAGACAACAAGAAGAGGAACGAAAGGCGAAGGAAAAGCTGATGGAAGAAGCAAGAGCCGATTTGTTAAAAATCAAGGAGGAGCATCTTAATAGAGTAAGATAAAAATCACTTTTTATGAAATGCAATTTTCACCTAAGGATTACTCAGATAATGAGTAAGACAGCTTGTCTCTATCACTATCCTTGATTCAGGCGCATTCCCGTTCAGTTTGGCCTTAACCATCCGTATGAAGTGATTTTTAAAATGTGAAGGGGAGTCAAATATTTATTGATCATCAGTGGGGATTAACTATTAAAATTTAAGCAGACAAAGTTTATTTTTCTCAATATATACCTGCAAACTAAATCCGACGTTATTTAGGGGACACTTCCTTAAAGAGGCTAATGGAGATGTGCCGCCTAATGGGGTCGCATTTTCACGACTGGATTGACTATAACGGGGTCGCATTTTCAATAGAGTTACTGGAATGGGGTCGCACATTTTAGGATTTTGGGGTGAAAAAGTTCTTCATAATTACGGTTATCAAACGTACCAGAATGTATTTACTGTATAGGTGTAACGCAAAGTGGACCTTCAATTAAAAAAAAAAAATGGTTCAATTCATTTTAGGATGGCCTATTTAAAGGATTGATGAGGTAGATACTTAAATAGAAAGTGGCTAACTTGGGATCGCGAAAATTACATATTTGCCCAAAAGTGACTAAGATGGGGTCTATAACTGGCCACAATAAAGAAACCTTTTTTTTTTTGCTATTTACAGGACGCTGGCATAGATGTTGGTTACTGGCCAACTAATGGTAAGCTATTCTTTAACCAAGATTGGATGAAACATGCAGATGCCTATGACAAGGGAATTGAGCTGATCATGAAAGATCCATATCATAATATCTGTGAAATCACTTGGTGGTGGCATATTGGAGGGTCTGGATATACCTTGAAGTGCTGGACCGCATCGGATAACACGGCTACTACTTTTGGCAAAGGAGGAGGAGAACATGTATTGTTCTTCAGTGAGTTGCTCTTCAAATGGAAGGACAATGTTCCCAGACGTGGATAAGAACAAATATCACTCTTGGACATGAGAAAACTTACAGAGGCAAATCAAAAATGAAATTAGCCGTAACAGTTTAACTTTCACGCAGTTCTAGCGTCCATGATCAATACTTGCAATCGTTTAAAAAATGTTTGCGATTCTATTATTTTATTGATGTTATTTGAGAGTTAATCGCGTTTGTTTTCGTTACGTTTTATTCATATTAATCATGCACTTCTAGGATCAAGTGTTCGAGTGTGAAATGTATTAATATACCCTCATCTCAACACTTCAGGTGTGAGGCACCGAGTGTACTAGGATCTGCTCGTAAGGTCTCTCCTAATTGGTCACAGGAAACAATAACATGTCATTCTTCCAATTGTTTTAGTATTTTTTGGGGTCAGGGTTAGGCACCATTGGTGACTTCTCTTCCGAGCAGCCGCTAAATGACCATTTGTTTAGGAAGAGCGCTCAACATTTTTTAACCTCGTGTGGATTTATTATGCCTAGTTGCTTGGAGTTTTCACAAAGTTCAAGTATGCATTCAAAATGAATTGTCAGTAAATCCGATCGATATTGCTTAACATCTTACGTGTTTGGTTATATTAGTCTAATCAAGAAAGTCAAGGCTAAGTTTGCACAAGGAGGGTTTTTTCGGATTCGTTTTAAAGAGATCAGGTGTTGTCACTGCGAAACAGTGTTAAAGCGTACAATTTTGTGCTTATACAGTTTTATTCGCTTTCCTACTGACTTTTACGTTTCTATGGTGTGTTTTGACTATTTATTGGACGTTGATTTTATATCATTTGAGTGTTTTCGAATAGAGAGTGTTTTCAGATACTTATCGAATCATTGATCTTACATAATTTTTTTTCATCTTTTGCGTCTTTTGAGTGTTATAATAAGGTGCCAGGTTTATTGGAGACTACCGAGAAAACGAGGTTTACATTAAAGGCCTGTTATAGGAAGTGATGACCGGACTGCAGCTAGCTAACGCACAACGGTTCCAATTTTTTTTTCCAAACTTGGGCACGTGTATGTGCCACATCAAAAAGTTTCCACGAGAAGGTTCATACAAGTCAAGACCGGTCCTTTGTAGGTACTACACTGGTCTCATGGACCCGAACTACTTAACTACTTTACTCCGAAAGTTGTACACAACCTTTATTCCAGTTAATCCAGCTAAACTAATCGTTTTAGCTGAACAGTTGTACGTTGTATTATGCAACAGTCCGATCATATATTTAAGCGCGAATGACACGGTACTATGAAAAACTTGTTTGTAAACAAGTTATTAGAATTGAAACTTATCCCGGCAGCATTGCCAGTAAGAACTGTGGAACCGTAATTCCGTTTACGGCAAGAACACTGGTCACTTTTATTAATAAATAACCTTTTATGTAGTTTCGCTAATCTCGGTCGGCGCACTTTTTAAAAAAAACTTTTGTCATGTAGATTATGTAATCAGCACTGCACGAAAAACTGGATTTACACAAATTTACTCGGTGTAAATATGGTGCAAAAAAGTGCAAACTAGGGGGAAATTAAGATGGTAAATACCGCATTTGCCTGCCAGTTTACATGGGGGTGTTAATTTTAGAGCAAATCCGGTATTTACCATCTTTGCCCTTTATTTAACCTTAGTTTGCACTTTTTTGCACCAAGTTTGCACTGAGTAAATTTGGTGTAAATCCAATTTTTCGTGCAGTGCAGAGTAAACAGATCACGCTCCGAAAAGTGCTGCGCACTTATTCCAGCAACCACTTGGTGATTGGTATCAATATGTTCAACTGAAGTTAACTGTCATCACTAACAGCGTTACAACATTTAATTTACAGTCCGTTTAAGTATTCGATAACGCAACCCAAATAACGGTTGTAATCCCTCAAAGGATGCCTTTGTTTTTATGTTCAAAATAACTTTTGAATAGTCGTTAGGTTTCGATGAATCACAGCAGGTTGTTGGGTATTCGAATGTGCTCTACTTTGGCGTCGTTCTTGCTAGGAAAAGTAGAGTTAGACCGAAGACGCCGACCAGCTAAGAGGTAATAAACCTTGGAACTGAAATGCAGGAGTCTTAGCGCTCTCTTCCAGTTACCAGAGCAGTCCCCCAACAACAGGGTCGAGCCACCTTAAAGTTTATCGCCATAATTCCAAATGGATCAACTTGATTCATGTTTCCGAATTTTCCAGAAATTGAATTATTATGAACGTATCTAAGTTCAGAAACTGGACAAGAAAATTGGACTTATTGTGTTTACGTCCTCAATAATCCTTTGTACATCGTTAACTCACTACTGAAGAAGGTCATATCCTTTTTAGAGGTTACACGAGGACGCCGACTTTAGTTTTGCTTAACGCAGCGTTGCTTTTGAAAGGGGCGTCTCAAGTTGATGAAGCCTTTAAAAAAACTTGCGGCGCCAAAATAGCCCTGATAACCGGTTTTCTGAGCAGACTTTGCGTTGCAAGTGTTGGAACCAGCCGTTGCAGTGCCAGTCTGCAAGGTTGTGCTGCGCAGCTGAAAATAGTTGTGAAACGTCCAGTGTAACACGTACGACAAATCCCCGTTTTCTCGCAACAGGAACGGACCAAGAAACGGTCAAATGCTACGAAAAACCCTGAATTCAGCTCCTTGGCACTCTATCGATACTAGGTCTTACCTAGTTACTTATGAAGACTCCAACTCGCCTTCGCCTTCGGGCGAAATCCTTGCGGGGGCAGTAATGGCTTCCCAGCAAAACGCCGCTCTTGTATAAAATTGCAAAACAAGTATTCTTCGAAAATACTTTTAATTATTAAAATCTTACAAAAAGCTGCGCCCTAAGCTACGGTAAAATATTCATGAAAAGGAAACGTCAATATAACTACAAAATTCCGGCAAAACTCCTTTGCAATTCAAAATTCCAAGAAATCACATAGAGTTATATAAAAAAATCAAGTCAAATATTCTCTGCGTTAATTCAAGTAAATACAGTTGATTTACAGAAGGAAATATTCTGGAATTATAGCATTAAATTTAAGGTGGTGTAAGCACTTACAGTTGTATAAACCTTCGTATTTGCCCGGGGGGTACTTAAGGAATTTCTGGGTGGGGATGTGCCGCTGGGACCCTGGAACACTTAACCTATACCAGAGCTAGTTCAGCTAAATTTTGCTACCCTATCCTAGAGTAAACTCCCCAAATCCCCCCTATCCTAGAGTAGCTGCTTCCCTAGTCTAGATAAAATCTTCAACCAACTGATCAGTTTCCTGAAAAATGATACCCTATTCTAGACCCAAACTCTCTGATTTATATACACTATCCTAGAGTAAACTGCTTGAAAACCATACCCTCCACAGCGACACATACCTATATAGCCCATATATGGCAGTACCCCCCCGGGCGTATTTGGCGCCAAAAACGTTGTTTTCGATCTAGACCGGGCGAAAACGTATTGCCATTTCACCTCTTTATCCCCAACTTGTTTTTGGCCAATCTTAATAAATGCGGAGATAAGTATATAGAGAAACTTGAACGTGATGATCATAAGCATTAATCTTTTAAACTACTTTGTTAAAAAATCATAAAATTTAATCAATTTTTCTCGTAATTGCAGTTTAATCGACAGCTACTTGGATTTTGATTAGATAGTGCAGTTTGCATGGCAACCTCTCACGCCTGAAAAAGTAACCATAATATTTCCGCTAGTTAATAAATAGCTGGTTTTATCACTTGTATAGCAGCAACTGACAAGGACAAAGCTCAGTGGTATTAGCAGATCGGTAAAGCATGCCACCAACTGCGTGGGGCATGAACGCCTGACGAACCCCCAATAACCTCTGCGTGGGAGGCTACAAGTCACGGTGCTGGTAACAAGGTTTCCAGGTTTCGAAAATTTGCAAAAATAGTGTTTAGCTTTTGTAACACCTCATAAACGTGAACACACCAAGAATCGATGACTTCTTTGTTTAAGTTTTGGTAACGTCGTGTAAAAATAGAAATGGACTTATTGGTGTAGGATACAGAACTGATGATGAGGAATTAAGATCTCGGTTACTACCTGCTTCTTTTCGATATTATTTCCTGACCCACATTATCAGCCTATGTGCAAAGGAATCCCTTTATATTAGAAAGCAATCTTGTTTTATAACAGCCTTAGGAATCTATGCTCAGTACATAGCAAGGCGCCGCTTTATAAACGTGGGTTTGATAGTGTGGCCATTAACGTTTAATATTCTTAAAGGTTCACATTACCAAGTGCGGGCGACTGCAGTACGTACATAATAACTTGACAAGTGTACCTGCACCTGCATAAGCACCTATCGTGTAGTCATATAGTCTGCTACCCTGCTGTTGTATGTACAATTCTGGACGTTACTTCAGGCTTGAAACCTTGATCTGTGACGACTGCGCCCAGATACTTGATACTGTCAACCTCGTCAAATTTTTCACCGTTGATCCTGATGTCAATGTTGTTGCCATTTGGGTTGTTGTTTATCAGTTTTGTCTTCTCTGCAGTAATTTCCATGCAAAAGGCTGCGGAGATCTTATCCAGAAGACCCACCTGAGAGGCTAGTTCCTCCTCTTTTCCTGCCAAACCATCAATGTCCTCAGCAAAAGTTAAGTTGGCAATTGCTCGGCCTCCAATGCTGACTGTTCCATGGTGATTTTTTAGCGCGTCAGTCATAATTCTCTTCAGAAAGATTCTGAAAAGAGTCGGTAAGAGTAAACATCCTTGTCTGATGCCGACTGAGGGTCTGAACCAGTCACCTATGCCTAACGTGTGTAAAGGTGTAAAAATAAATGATTGAATAGGTTACGCGTTATGCTCAACCCCACCTCAACATATATACTAATGGCATCACAAAAACTGCAATCCACATAAACTCTTCTCTATATCATATATGTCTTTTTATATCGCAGAGAATTCACTTGGTTCCAAAACGATTACCAACTATATAACATGTATACCTCTACGTACTTCTCTAATTTCCTTCAGTTTGTGACGGCACCAAAAAAGTTGATTTCCCTCGATTGAAAAGACTCAGTGAATTAAAGTTACAGGGTTATAATTTTGCGAACCTATGAGTAAAGAATTTGACTTCATAATGGGAATAACTGAAGAATCCCTTTTTATTACGGAAAGTGTCAGACAGTTTCCGTAATAGAAAAAGTGCTTTCTGTTTTACTAGCTGTTCAAAATTCGTATAAATATAAAAGCTAATGAAATGTGTCCACAAGGACCTAGATAGGTGTCTCTAAGAATGATTATAAACGATGACCTCGAGATTTTCAAGTCGTAGCTGACTGCTGGCATATCCTGGATTTGTGTGACCTTTAACAGGTTTTTTTGAGAAATAAGAACCGTGTTTCCGTTTGTGAACTACTAACAAAATAATAAGAAACAGCAGCAGTAGGGCAACAGACGATGAGAGGAAGATCAACACTATGTGCAAAGTTTCCAGCTTGGTCTCGTTTTCCAAGGAGGTTTCTGTTGCGGACGGGGCTCCGCGACCGACGGCCACAGTCAAGGAGAAAACTTGCAGCTCTTTTTGGTCAGCGTTAGGTGACGCGGGCGCGGTCGTGACGTTTACAAGCGCGATGGTGTTTTCATCGGCGTCTAATCGTGCCACGAGGACAAGGATGCATGAGGAGGATTGCATTGTACCGAGACGGACTGGCGATGGCTGGATGCTTCCATCAATTGAAGATTGATTACTGTGTACCTGTTGACGAAAACAAACAAGATAAGTCATTGAGAGAGGTTAAGCCACTTGAGAAAATTAAGAAGGCTATCCGCAATGTAATGTCTGTGTGACAGCGGTTACCACTAACACGGGCCCTCGAAGGGGTTTTTCTCTCTGTTTAAACCTGAGTTTTTGTGGACGTCAATCAACTGTTTCCATGGTTTTCCACGCGCTCTGACAGAGAGGGTTCCCTCATTGCTGAATGAAATTTCTGCTTTTCACCACGGTTTTCGTAAAAACTAACCGTTTGACGTAATGCAAATCTACAACTGAGAAATCCAGGCGGGATTAAAATTAGCCTCCTAGTGACGTTCTTAGTGGTTCGTCACGCGTTCATGCCTGCCTGCCCAGCGGCTAGTTTAAAATGGTTAACCGTTTTAATACTGGCAAGCGCCTCGTTTGTCGTCATGGCCTTAGAAATCGTTTAGCTCTTATAAATCTACCCATGGTACACTGTTTGCCTCTGGACTTTGCAAAAGCACCACTGTCCGTTTTATTTTTCTCTTGGGACGATTGTAATGAAACTCCTAAGAAAAGTGGGAACAATAGTTTGACAGTAGGAAGGGGGGAAACACAGTGCATCCTGGGAAGATGTGGAGGTGGTGAATGCTAGTAGTTAGAGAGTTTCAGCAACAACGACGGTGACGGCTACGGAAACGTCACTCAAAAGGAGAATTCGCGTTGCCTCAAACTTTAACCTGCTTATTCCATCTCGTTTAATTCGTCAAATGCTAGCAAATTTTTTTTGAGTTGAGTTTTAAAGGACTGTATTAAAGTTCAGGAAAAGAAAAAAGAAAGTTGTTGTCTCGTGTTCCCGTCCTGGACAAAACGTGAAATTAGGCAATTTCACGTTGTAGTCGTGCAGTGACGGCTAAGAAATGTACAAAAAAGCGTAATGCACGTGCAAAGTTGTTGTTTTTCTAATACAAACCTTTGCTTTTTTGTCGTTCTCGTTGCCGTCGCCGTCGTCGTCGCTTAAGCTCCCTAATTATAACTCACCAGAAATGTGAAGATTTCAGATGATGCCAAGTTCTTTATAGTGAAGTTAACCTCCAGCTTCTGCCCGGGCGACAGGGAGAAGGAATCGTTAGGTGCCACTACCTCTAATCGCACGTGTTTGAGTACCGATACCTTAATTTGAACTAATGTAACCTCCTTTACGCTGGCACTGTTTGACTGTGAAATTGCCTTTACGGTCAGATTCTGCATCTCATTAACCTCACCGAGTGACTTGATCGTCACGTAGCCAGCTGCACTGACATTTGATTCAAGCGCAAGGCTGAAGGGAATGACGTAACTGAAGAGTTTAGGCGCTTTAGTTACTTGAAAAGAGAACGATCCCGCGGAGCCGAGGTTAAGTAGTGTAAAAGGGACCTTGGTGGTGTTCCCAGGGTAAATGGACACAGCTGTGTTGCTTGGTTTGGCGCTGAGGGACACAATATCAGGAACAAGGCTGATGGAACAAGTGCCCATATTTCCTACGAGGTCAAGGCCGACAAAAATAACTCTAGGATTGCAACAGTCGGAGGTAAAGGAAGCTGAGATGGATTTGTTGACTGCACCCTGGTTGAAGGCCTCGACTAAAAAGAATAACACAAAACAAATTACTATGCTAAAATGAGTTACTTAATTTGTACAGCCTTTTGACATGAGGTCACCTCCGCCATGTTGGTAGCCTGCGAATGCAGACGTATTTCCTATTTCCGGTCTTAGCTTCTCTCCACCCGAAAAGTAAACAGGAAATACGTCTACGGTCACAAGCTACCATGGTGGTGTCGCAAATAGAAAATAAATAAATTAAAAGGGCGGCCATGTTAGTGCCCAAACCTGTCCTGTTGTAGTTGAACTCTACTCTTTGGTAAACAATTTTTTTTTTGTCACAACAAATTTGCCGGCTACTGGCCACGTGAGTGAAAACACTCTGTGTGCTTAATGTAGAAAAAAAAAATTCGCATTCCCTTTCGCCATGTTCTGACATTTTTTCGTCAACAGAGAGACACATGTACAATAATGGCTTAACGATTGTGTTAGAGCGTTTTGAGCCGGGGTCAAATGCTTAAGGCTGCTACATTCTGAAGGTAGAGCCAAGACACAGAGTCCAGAGGAGTATCGCATAATAAATGAGTTACTTATTCAGGCCGCTCAAGTCTCATGGGTTTGAGGACAATCTCACGGTCTCACGATGAGGCACAGAAATCTCACGGTAAACAGATACACAAGCCGATAGAATACACTTTTAAAATGAATTCATTTTTACGTTGTAAAATTGATTTTCAGACGTCAATTCTGTAGAAATCCACAGTTCTAAGGCATATTTGTCATATTTTATCGTCTTGTTGACAACATACCGACCTCAAAAGCATATTTAGAGAACAAATGTTAAATAAGGTTATCGTTACCAGTTTGTCGCATTTAGATACATTTCGTCCACGTTGTCAAAATGGCGGGAAACGATGAATATTCATCGGACAAAGTTCAAAACAGAATGGGGAGATTGGTATCCTGTTTAACGTATTTTTAGCGATCCATTTTTGTTTTTATGTGTTCCCTACACCTGGTTTTAGTTCTTTGAGCCGTAGATAAATCTCGACGTTTTCTCCCAAATTTCCAGGTCTTTTGGTCTTTTGGGATTGAGAGGTCTGCTTATTTAACGTCTCACCTTGAAGAATGTATATCCTTGTCACTTAGCACGATTAATTCGCCCAATGGGATCTCTATGAATCTAACGTAAACGATTTCGTCGCTTCCTATCTGCCCTCGATTTGGTGAATGCTAGTTTCCATATCTCAAACCGCCCTTGGATACCTTGTGATGCCTACACAAAGTAATTGCATATATGTATACATATATGAGTGAGCCCTGACTATAGTGATTAGGGTTAAGCACTGACAATACTGATTAGGGTTAAGCACTGAAAATACTGATTAGGGTTAAGCACTGACCATACTGATTAGGGTTAAGCACTTAGAATAGTGATTAGGGTTTTCGCTAAAGTAGTTAAACTACTCCCATACCTTGCAGCGAATCCTCGGTGGTGTAGTGGGTAGGGCTTGGGACTGCTGATTTAGTATTCCGGGATCGATTCCTGCTCGTAATTCGGAATTTTTTTTTTCCTTTAAAATTGAAGAGACTTGCACTTTGACGACATTTGTTGAGCAGAAACTAAGTCTCTGGGTCAAGAAACTTAGAAATTTCATGTAAGTGTAAGTGAAAAGGGAGAGGGCGGTTTGAGATATGGAAACGAGTGCTTACCGATCGACTTTGTTGTTCGCCATTTTTTAAATCAATATCCGCGAGCCATATCCTCGCTGGCGCACAGCACGAAGTGCCCAGTAAAAAATCTGCATCATATAGTATAAGCCCATCTTGCGAGCCCTCAGTACCTTGGCTTGCGGTATATAGAATGTGTAACGAAACTGTAACACGATCAAAATAAACCGTTTTTCAGACTGACGGTTTTTGACGGGTTTTGATGTTTTAACGACAAACTAAACTCCTCTGGATCCCGTGCCAAGAGAGGAGTCTCTAGCGAACAGTGTTTTCAGAATGCAAACGATGGTTATATAACTGTTCCAAGGACAACACTAGCTGGCTCTTGAAACCAACACCCTAAAAAGAAACCAAGCCGATAGGTGGTTTGAACGTAAAGCATCATTTACTTAAAGACATACAAGTCGAATGCTCTTACCATTTAACGTTCCATTTGTATTGTCTCGTGTAGTTATTGAGAACATTCCTTCTCCGGCATCAATGAACATGACATGTACGTACCACGTGCTTGACACGCACTCTGGTCTTCCATAAACACTTGCACATGCCCCTGTTTGGTTTGTTATGGAACATGAGGGAGGAGAGACGTCAGGGTTCTGAAAATATAAAGACCGGATACAATGAATAATTTTTATGACTTTTGCATTTGTTTCTCAATTGCAGGCGTTTTTTAAGATTTCGTTCGACGATCGTGTTTAATGGTCTCTTCAGTGTTGAAAAAAACGTAAAATTTCTGTGACGATTTCCATTGGTTTATTGCTTGTGTGACCTCGAATAGTTGATTTCTTGAGGTTTGCGGTAGTCGGTTAAAGTACAAGTCATTTCGACCTGTCTGCAAAAAACATTGAGGTGTGTTATTGGAATAAGGGTCCATCTAAGAAAACATGCAATTTTATATTACCCCCTCCCACCCCTCTCCTTATCTTGGCCTCATGGGATCAATAACTGACTTGCCATATTTCGCTTACCTTGGATGCTACGGTGACAAAGAAAACCATGAAATTAACAACTTGGGTGAAGTCAGAATTCTGTGACGCAAATACCGTGACAGTGCTTGTCACGCCATATCTTGCGTTGTTAGGAGCAGTAAGGGCAACACGAAGGACGAACGTGTTATTTTTTCCCAAGGTGCCTTGCGAGGAACTAATGTTTGTGACATACTGTAGGTCGTCTGATGCCCTGAAATGTAACGTTTGCGTGTCCCCGGAGTTTTGAACATCGATTTGCACCTTCAAAGTCTCACCAGGGAAAATAGAGTTTGAACCGTTTATATTGTCAACATTTTGAGACAGTTTTATGTCACCGAGAGTAAATAAAGTTGGCTTTACACGAAGAAAGCGGGCCTCAGTCTTGTCTATTCCTGTCACCTTGAGTCTAAATTTCTCTGCAGAAGGAACGAAGGTAACGAAGTAGGTATTCTTGTAGAAGCCTTGCCCTTGTGTGATGTTGAATGTCTCAAGGTCTGTTCCGTTTAAATCCACAAGCGTTAAATAGCTGACTCTGTTTATTTCTTTTCGTCCAACAAAATCTAATGTGAGCCACAGAGTTTGGCCTGAAAGAAAAGGAATACCGGAATAAAGTGATATAATGTAAAGCAACCTATCCGTAATAAACTTGTAGATTGCCGGATAAGAAATTCTTTTGCAGTTCGATTTCTTTGAGTTTTCAAAGAAAGGGTGTCAACATGGCACAAGGTCGATCGTTATATAGAGAGCACTTGTCACTGTCTATTCATGAGTGATGACGTTGGAACAATGATCATCAATAGGATTACATTATATCTCGACGATTCTTTAGACATGTCCGGCTGTACTAACTTTCGAATACACACAAGAGGAATCGTGGAAGGACACGAGTCGCACGTTACACCCCGGTGGTAGGCTTTCTTAAACTTGTGTGCAGATATCTCTTATTTCCTTTGCATCTAAGGAAACAGGACCAAGAATTGGTCTGCACCAAGAATTGCTGATAACCAAATGACACACAAGAAAGATAATTGTTGCGTCAAATTCCTACTGATACTACTTCCTACTTCCATTCTGGGAGTTAACTGATACATTTAAACTTAAAACAAAGAAGAAGCTAAGCTAAACTTGATACATGCCCTTGTTCCTATGGGTACATCCCTGTGGTAAATAGATACAGAACTTACTAAAGCAGCAATGTCATCGAGAACATCTGACAAGAAAAAAGTTTATAAGCAAAATTTGATTGCTTTACCTCTTAACGGATTTCCCACGACACGCCTTGTAATTCCTCGTTCCAGGTCTTCGACGTCTAAAAGCTGATAGGTGAAATCCAAAGGACTAAAGCCGGTTACTTGCAGAGTAAAGGGACCAACACAGGAGACTGTCATGTTCAGTAAACCGCTAACCAGGTTACTAACTTCTAATATAAGAAGTCTATTTGAAGAGGTTATATTTTTTTCTTGCAAAGTCGCGTTTCCTGGATCGAAAGAAAATGATCAGTCTAAAATTACCTCTTTTTTATTACTAACTTTAGATTGCTAGGTCAAGCGCGAATTTTGTCCAATCCCTGTTAGACGCCTTTCCCCGCCTTCTTTATCTGAAACGATAGCATTTCTTCATTTATTAATGTGTATGTTTTGATCCATTTAGTTACAGATTCTCCTTTACTTGTACAGGTCGTTTATAATACCTGTTATTTTTCAGCGGGCCAATATCCTCATGGAAAAAAGGGCCATAATATTATCTTCTCTCTTTTTATGACAAAAGTTGCCACGAAAGGATTTAAGACTAGATTTACCACGTAAATCGTTAACGTTAAGTTTTGATATTCTGTCATGACGCCATTTAAAGTTGTAAAAGTTTGTAATTTTGCAGAAATAGCTTTCTGAATTGGTATATAGTAGTTAGCCCCCACGTGGTGGGGAAGTACTCAACAAATGTTTGTACGGAGAAACTCTGCCCCGAGGCTCAAACCCTTACCTTTTAATATATACCATTTTTCACGAATATAATTTCGGCCACGCCTTTCGTATACTTTCTATTGACAAATGGAACCCTTTTACACACTTTGTTTAAGACTTTGCATCCCTTTTAACTGCTGTAAATGCACTGTCTTTTAAATAGGAGTCAATCACTAAATTAGAACGTTTTCTCCACTTTAAAAAGCCATAAAATTCATGTCTTGGCTCTTTTGGGCCCTTTCACAGACCAAAATGCCCTACCCTTTTATATACTTCAACAAGTGAAATTCATACCCTTTCATATGCCTGAAGCCTGGAAAAAGTATCCCTTTCGGGCGGAGCCTCCCCATATAGACCATCATAGGGAGTACCCCCGCCCTCCCCGAAGCTAGCCTGCGTCACAGACAGTCTAAATATCAAGTTCTCTATTTATAGGTCTCGAGTGCTGGATAAAGGCGACGTTACACTAGACGATTTGCAACGACGATTTTTAGCGCAACACAGCCTTGCAACATTGTTGTGACATTGTTTCGAATACATTTAGTCACAACATTGTTCCAACGTTGCAACGATGATTCACACTAACGAATGCGTTGCGAATCGTCCCGCGTACAATCACCTGAAGTCCAGGTGCAACGCAGGTTAATAATAGCCAGTGTTTTATTACCTTCAACAGTTTGGATGTCTAAACTGGGAGACCCAGCTGCTGTGAGTACCAGAACCAAGCTTTGTAGCGTACTATCGATATCCACGAAATAAGACTGACCACTAAAGTATTGAGCTCGAGATTCCTCTATGTTCAGCAGCCCAACTTCTTGCAGGTCAACAGAGGAGTTAACCGGGCTTCCGGGATCGATTATTTCCACAAGATCAGCCACCTCAGATTTGGTAGCTTGAAAAACCTGTCCACCAGTTTGGCTAGCAACCGACTGGTACAGAGCTTGACCTT